TTTGCTGCCCCCCCCCACCCCGCCCCGTGCCTGCATCACGTAAGAACCGCGGCGGTGCTCTGAAGGGCATCAGCTTAAATCAGCGCACGGCTCACTAAACTCGGCAGTGATGCTGCAGCCTCTTCATTTCCATCCCCCCGCCGCAGGACGAGAAGGCCCCTTCTAAATTAATCTTCTCCCGTAATTATGCCTGCCTAAACACGTCCAATTGATTTGGACGGTCCCTTGAACTGTGAAAACCTTTGAAACGCGTTTAAACCCTCTTTGCAGGGCTAGCTGGGCATGAATAGTGCTTTTGTCGGCGGACAATGGCAACCTCCCGACTGTCTCCTCAGATTAATGAAAGTAGACGATAGTCTCTAAAAACCTGCTTTGTTCTGATAAGACAAATAGTTATCGGGGGAGGTCCAGGTTAACAGAAATCAGTGTTTCGCGGAAGTTTTTGTGATGTTAATAGCTTAACTTTCTAGCAGCTTCCTGCCCCTGCGGAGGTCTTTTGCTAATCGTGACTTGCCTAAAGGTTGGATGGCAAAGAGGTTTTTGGTTACCAGATAGCTCCTGAGAAACTCGAGGGCTTGTTGTGCAACCAGGGGTGCTTGATGAAAAACAATTCAGTCCGAAGCACGTAATTTTATGCCCGGCATCCCATTTATAAAGCAGAATTCGTGTTAATTTAGAGGAGTTAGAGTTTGATGGCCTAATGGGCCATGCTGGTACCAGATCGTTTCCAAACCGTCTCCAGGTTAAGAAAGGCCTCTGCTCTTCTGCCCAGGCAGGAAGCTCTGCTGCGAGCCACGTGCTTGAAGCAGGACACTTGCCTTGTGAAACCCTTCCGAGAAACTTCACTTCCACTAACTAAAGAGCTGGTGGAGGCTGCGGCGCTGCCTCCGAGCCCCTCACTCGAGCAGCCTGCGTTTTTCTTGACTGCCCACTTCGTTATCCACCCAAAGCTGTAGATATTATGAAAACTTTAATTTATTGGCGTTAGCTGGAGTGATCAAACACCGACGTTAACTCCATTTCCGCACACCGAGTTGCTAATTTAATGTGATAGAAACAAAGCGTTTCCCAGGCTGGCCGGACCTCGTGCTTGGCCTTTACCTCCCCCTCACCCTCCCAGGGGGGAGTTGGTGCGGGGCGGCTGCAGCGTGGGGTGATGGATGGCACGTAGGGAATGGGGCTGCAGTACCTCCTCGCTGCCGCCTGCGCTCGGGTGCGCAGCCCATCCATCCTGGAGCTGGAGATGCAGCAGGGGGATCTATACTTCTCCCTAGAGTTACGTTTAAACGTAAACACCCACCCCCACCCCCGAACTTTATTTTAGAATGTAAAGAAACGATTTTTACAGTTTTCTTGGAGACAACTATGTGGTTTCTGCTGGTGTGGGGGCCAGGCTAAAAGGCACCTGGTCCTCTGTCAGCAACATGCTGCAAGGTCAAGTCTGTAGGTGTGCCCGCACTACAAATCCCCTGGAGACAGGTCTTTCTGGTCGCCAGATATCTGATGCTTGTCACCTCGTCTCGCTTGATTTTTTTTTTTTTTTTTTTTTTTTTTTTTTTGTTAAGCCTCCTGTATGCCTTTGTCCTCCAGGTCGGGCAGGCTCCGCTAAGGCAAGGCTAATCCATCTGCACGCAGGGAAAGCTCTGATGTCGCCCGGAGCCCTGCGGGCTGGCCTGACCTCCCCAGCCCCCATAATTCGTTTGGAGAGGCATCTCCGTTGTGGAGCTCTGGGTCTGTTCTCCCGCGGCCTGCTGCTGGGGAGAGCATACGCCAGCGGGGAGCAGGTGGTGGCCTCTGGGTCCCGTCCAGCTTTGCAGAAAAGGGATGACATTTTGAGGTGGCCATCTTGTACTTGTGTAACGGCGCGACGCCACCTCCTGCAACAGCCACCCGGGGAAGAACGTGTTGTCCTCCCTTTCTGGAAGAGGGGATGACAGGCAGTATTTGGCACAGAGCTGCATTTTTTGTTATTGAGTGCGTTTAGCTTCTGGAATTAATAAAGCTGATGTTTTCCTAGGCGCTTTTTTTTTTTTTTCCGAATCTGAAGTCCTGTACGGTTTCATAACCCTGCCCTTGCTAACTCAAACCATTTCTGCCTCTGGCCAGGGACACTGGGCATGAGCAGCCTTGTTCTGCAGCGTTGGTGAGGTTGTGTAAGTGAGGCTGAGCGATAAAATCCGAATCACCCACCGTGAGCCTCCCTGCTGCCTGTCTGCAACTTTCACAGGCAGTAAAACATCTGTGTCTGGCATGGCAGTGGTTAACACCGGTGCTGCCGGGGGACTGTCCCTGCTAGGTCTCTGCAGTTTCCACTTTCCTTTGTCATGGATAACAGCAAATACTTGGCCCAGGGTGGAGATTGCAGGGTGGGGGTTGCTGCTGCTCCTTTCTCCCTCCCGGAGGGCAGGTCCGGAGGCGCCGTGGATTTAGGGTTTCTCTCAGCCGACCTCAGGATGAGCTGGCTGGAGTTAAGTCACCTCGCTACTGCAGAACTGGTTGCCTGACCTCAGACAGCTCTTTCTAGAATATTCAAGAGCTGGGGAGATACCAGATACCTTCTGGATGCTCTGCCTGAAGCACAGGCAGCCCAAGTAATAAATCTGGGGATTTAATCGTTGTTCCTTGAGGAAGGAATGCAGATTTATTCAGTGCTGGAAACATTCAGGCTTTGTAGGGTATTGCTTTCCCCCCTTCCTCACTCAGCCCAGACTGAGTGCTCTGTGTTTTCAGGTGTCCTTAAAGTCCTTGCTCTTCTGTTTGATTTTTAAAAAACCCAAGTGTGGAGTAGTGGGAAATGCCAGACATTCCTCTTGCATTTTTAAGACAGTCTTCCAGTAGAATTCAGTCGGTGCTTTGGAAATGCATGGGATGGGAGGCAGGAGGAAGTGTTAGAAAGGGAAGCTTGGTGGTAGTGGGGCACAGTGCTGTCGGCGGTTGGGTGTTTGGGATACTTTTTGGCTGCTCTCACCCCTGGACAAGGCCTCGGTGTCTCCGATTAATTTTTCTGAGCTCACTGAACTGCTGGAAAATCTTTTGAAGGGGATTCTGACTGGGAACTTAACTTCTCTTTATGTATTTATTAAGACTTTAGGGGGGTTAAAATTATATTTGCAAATGACTTGAGTGGGTGGAGGATTTCCATGAGATAGGGAGAACTCATCTGCCTATTTTTAAAAACTTACAAGTCATGCTCTGGTCTCAGTTTCAGTCTCGGGATCCCGTTGTTTCATATTCCTCTCGTTTCCAGAAGCAGTGCAGACCTGCTCACCCATGTTTGTGGAGGCAATTTCCCAGCAAAGGCTTATATTTTTTTTGGCATCTAGAGAAGTGTGTGCTGCTCTGCAGGTGTTGGAGGATGCAGCAGCAAGTGTTAGAGGGCTGAAACACAATGTTTCAGGTCTGAGCAGCGAGTTTTCCTATAATAATGGGACTTTGGGCTTTTTATGTGGGCAGACCTTTTTGTACTGACTCCAGTGAATCAGCGGCTTCTGGCAGGGCTGAGGGAAAGGAGACTTTGCCAGGACAAATTATGGTTTTCGCTGGCCTGACTCGTTTATGCCTCATGGGAGCGAAGCAATGGTGAGTCAGGGCTGCCTGTGAGAGAACTCTGCACGATCTGCACGTACGGTCTGCGGAGCAGAAGTGGCTGAGAGGAGGAGCGTCGGCACAAACGGTGCCTCTGCGGCACTGGGCAGGCACATGGCAGCCTGGCAGGGCATCTGCCTGCCTCTTCCTTAGAGGCATGGCTTCGTTCTGCTCAACCCCCGTAGGTTTGGCAAAGGTTTTGGGTTTATTGGTACCTCTGTTTCAAATCCAAATACACTGAGCTAGCTGCTGTGTGCAGCTAACACCTTTTTCTGATTTACTGCGTGGTGGTGGGTTTTTTTGTCTGCTTGGGGCAGGCAGAACAAAAGCCCTGCACTGGCGCTGCCTTTAGCTGAGCAGTAGCCTGTGTTTCTGCGAGCACTGTGCTAAAGGCAGAGCTTACAGGCGAAGGCAGCTTATGCTGAAAGAGCTGCTTGCTTTGAATATCCTGTGTGCCTAGGGGATGAATTTTGAAGTAAACCACTGTTTGAAGTCAAAACTAGTGATCTGCCCATGCCAGTAGCCCCCACTTTTCATCACTCTCTTACCAGAGGCTTTTTGAATGCTGGCAGTCTATCCTGGACAGGTTGAAGAGAACAAACAGCTTTTAGCTGCCATTGCTACATGAGAAAAGTATTGCAGTGTGGCATGAGGTGAGCGGTTAGAAATGCCCGGGGGCACTAGCACTGCTGAGAAATGAGTGTCCTCCTATCCCAATGGACAGTTAAGCTTCAGTTCAACTTCCTGTTGGGATTGTGGTCTGTTCCTGCTGTTGTGGGGATGCTCTAGACCTGTAGAGGCAAGCAGCCAGAGTGCAGAGAGGTGGGTTTTTTTATCCAAACTTCGAAAAAATAACCAGTTTTAAACCTTGTGGGGTTTTTTTGCTGCCCTGGGTGAGAGAGAATGCAGTGGACAGGGGACACCTACAGCATCTTCAATTGGAAGAGGGATCTTGAGTGTATTTAAAAAGTCTTTAGTCTTTAACATGTGTTCTGCCAAGATGGTGTGTTTCATCAGCTGAAGTCTACTTGCTTGTACAGCCTTGAAATATGGGGTTTAAGTTTAGGCAGACTTTAATGTGGTTAGGTGCATCTTGGCAGAAGATTGCCCATGTAAGAGCATGTCTGCAGTCACGCTAGCGCTGTGCGGCCCGGTCCCCAGTTGCGATGGGAAATGCAATCGAGGCCAGTAGGAGAAATGACTCAAGAGCTGGGAGGGAGGAGGCAGAATCTGCCTGTGCACTCAAGTGCTTGAATTTTGTTGCGTTGTGTAGCTCCAAGGGAAGACTGGCAATGAAGAGAAGCTATGAAGGGAACATCTGCATAGAAGGCAGGTGAGCTTTGGGTGGTGTATGTGGGGGATGACATGAAAATAGAACTGTGTCTTGCCTGTATCTAAGATTCTAAGTAGGAACATAAAGATAGTTTGACCCAGTAGCAGCTTTCTTGTTACCTCCATATTCATCACGTGGGTGTGTTGGTGTCTCTGCTTGATGAGCAAATCTGGGCGATTCCTAAACCTGGCACCGCTTTTTTCTCTTCTAGGCAGAAGATTACAGCAACAATGTCGAAGCACCATGATGCGGGGACTGCTTTCATCCAGACCCAGCAGCTGCACGCTGCCATGGCGGACACCTTCCTTGAGCACATGTGCCGCTTGGACATTGACTCGGAGCCAACCATTGCGAGAAACACTGGCATCATCTGCACCATTGGTAAGTGATTCCTAGATCGGGGAGAATTGCAGCTGTGAACCCCTGTGTTGGTGAAACTTGTTAGGGGAAATAGTGAGAAGGCTTTGTCTTTCATCCCTTGCCAGGGCTGAACTTGTGTGTTGAAAGAACATGACTTTTCCCATGTCTGCTTAACCCATGTTATTGCTAGGACTGAATCTAGTAGCTGGGGAAATCAGAACTGCTTAGGTTCTGCCGTGCTCTGCAAGGCAAGTTAGAACAATCTTTGCTGCTGTGGAGATGAGCTGCTTCAGCGCTGAGAAAGTCCGTATCCATTATGTCCTCCCTTCCTCTTCCACATGAAACAGCCTGGCATGTGTGGGTTATCTCATTATTTTTACAAAGTTAATATTAAAACTGTTTCTTCCTCTTAGGCCCAGCCTCCCGCTCAGTCGAGAAGCTGAAGGAAATGATCAAATCTGGAATGAACGTTGCCCGCCTCAACTTCTCTCACGGCACCCACGAGGTAAGGGTGGGGTCTGAGCTGATACGGCCCTGATCAGGCTGTGTGTGTATGTCTGCTGACACTGCCTCTCATGAAAGAGGGAAATCCAGCTTAGTCCAGACCAACCTTGGTGTGGGAAGGTGAAACTTAGCTCTGCTTTTGGGGGAGGCATGCTGGTTGTACATATTGAGCCTGAGTAATCGCTGATAACATTTAATTGTGCTTTCTGGGCCATTCTGAAAGCAGTTTAAGTTGATTCCACACCCCCCTCTGTACCAGGGAGCCAGGTAACTGATACTTCATGCTTGTGCCAACTGCTTGCCGAGAAATCCTTCAGTTCTTCCTTGCACCCTGCTGTTTGCTGTACAAAGCTGCTGCTTCTCAGTTAATAGTAAAAGCTGAGAACATTTGTCCCTGTTTTGCTGTGCACCTCTGCAGGTGTACAGAACTATCAGTTGCTCGTCTTGCTTCTTGTCATTGCTGACGGTTTTGCAAGCAGGCGATCAATGAATAACTTTGTCTATAGAGAAAACTGTAGTGACTTTAATTACTGTGCCTAGTTGAAAGAAATAAACTCCTGGGCTTGCTTGGCTTTGCCAGCTGCTCTGGTTGTGTTCCTAGCAGTCGTGATGTTAGTACCACAGTACTTGGGAGCTGATGTGGTGAGCTTATAAGAATTAAGGTCAAAAGAAATCAACACGGTTTGTGGCAGATGAGCCCTTCTTGATATAAATAGATGAGATCCTCAGTAATACTGGAGGAGCTGAGGATCCCATTCCAGGTTGCCCAGAATGCCACCCTGACCCTTCTTGCTGAGTTGTTGTTTTTTTTTTTTTTACACTGGCTGCCCTCCAGCTTTCAAAATGTCAGACAGTACCCAGTAGCAGCTGTAGGTGGCTTTACTTACTGAACCGTGAGCCTCGCGGTACGTAACAGCTTGGCCTCTTGCCCTTGTGGCCTTTAAAGGCCACAGGGCACTGTCAAAATCAAAAGGTCTGATGCTTAACTGTGGACAACCATCAGACCTTGACTAAACACCCTGGGGTAGTGTCAGTGCATAGGCTGCAGTTAGCAAAATCTGCCTGAAGAAAGGGTAGCATGGAATAACTGCCTCTCAGTAGTGAAATCCTGTGGCTGGGTGGCTCATCAGGGAGTTGACCCAGCTGAAACAGGGAGTTTTCACACCATTACTGCCCAGTGAGGCTGCTGCTGCGGTTTGCGTACTTGTTAGCTGAGGTCAAGGAAAGGCACCGTGGCTTTCTGCTTTGGGTGAGGTCTAATTGCACGTTCCATGAGGTTAGATTACAGTGGAGTCTGGTCTTGCTGCCATCTCCTGTTGAGTTTGACTGTTGGCCGTAACCAGTCTTAAGTTTGAGTCCCCTCCTGGTTCCTCCCAAACACTCCAGTTTCCAGGGAAGCCCCAAAGAGTTTTCATCTGTCATGAGTGCTTTGGTTCTTGTGTCCACCCCAAAGCATTTAACAGAGCTTCAACTTTAACAGAGGTGCTTTAGTACCTGGCTGCCACTGTAGAAAACAAATTGCTTTTACTTCCAGCTCTGTCTGCATTCCTGTTCTGCATACGTAACTCTTCAGGAAGTCAGACTCCCTAGGAGCCAGTTAGTCCATGCTATCAAACTAAAAAGGAAAAATCCCAGGTGACTGGGACCAGATAAACTTAGTAGCATGTTTGGGCAGGTTTTCTGTACTTCATCCATCTGGAGTGCATGGAAGGGTCGGGACCTTCTCAGTCTCAGCTTGCACGCTCAATCAATAAACTAAACAATGTTTCCTGCTCTAAAGAGTTAGCAGTTGCCGTGTATCTCTGGCTGAGGGCATGCACATGAACTTTAGCACAGCTTTTCTCAGCCCCACCTTCCTGGCACTGGATTATCGTCCTCACGATAGGGAAGTCAGTGTGCAGGGCTCGTGTCAAGGAGGGTTGGGGGAGCCAGGTGTTTCCAGGTGAGTCGGGTCAAACGCTGCCAGTCCATGGCAGAGAGGGGGAAGGGTATTTCTTATCTACAAAAGTCTGTCAAGGGTTATCTTTTCACGTTGTTTGAGCAAGTAAAGTAAACTGATCTAGTGGTCATCTGAGGCTCATTCAAGGTAGTTGGGATGGAGCTTCTCCACAGAACTGTCTGCCCTGAAACTGTCAGCATGACCCAAATGCTCTTGCACATGTGAAAGTTTGGAAGCCGGGTGCATGGTGCTGGAGTTGTCAACTTTCCCTGTGATTGTTTTGGCTCTTGAAATAAAATGTAAATACTTAAATGATAACGTCCTCTTAGTCAAAGAGTTATAAAAAAGCTTGTCCATCTGATCACCTGCGGCACTGATAAGAGGGGTCAGGCTGGAAGTCTGTGGGGGAGTTGACAGTGCAGAGAATGGCATCTTCCCTTCCATGCTGTGAAGGCCAGAGGGGGACAGCCATGTGTGACAGTCGCTTAGCTGTGACATTCTTCTGACATTCATGAGTCTTTCCACATACGTAATTTTCCATTTGCCAGTGCTGCCGATGCTCTGCCATGTTGAATAGGGAAGTGTTCAGCAAAGCTGTCGGAAATGCTCTTCTGGAAGGCCTGTTGGTTGGTGGGCCATCTTCAAACGGCAAGCGTGTGTCCTGAAATCACTGGCACAGTGCCTGGGCTGTATCCTTGAGTTGTCCTTCTGGAATTAGAACTGGGGGCACTGAAGGCATGGCCAGATAACTGCCAGACTCCACTTCCCTGTGGGAAGGCCTTTGTATCCTCACAATCTGCTTTTCTGAAAGCTCTGTCTGAATTAAATTCTTAAGATAGAACTGAAATTGAGCATAATGTGGGAGCAGAGCTGTCAGCTTGGGCAGTGTCTGGAGTGCATAGTGATCTTTTTAATAAGCAGTGTAGTAGAAATTGCCTGAACGTTTCCATTTCTTTTTCCTTGCCAGTATCATGAGGGCACAATCAAGAACGTGCGAGAAGCTACAGAGAGCTTTGCCTCTGATCCCATCACTTACAGACCTGTGGCTATTGCACTGGATACCAAGGGACCTGAAATCAGAACTGGACTCATTAAGGGAGTAAGTTTCTCTCTCTTTTTTTTTTTTTTTCCCTCCCACTTTTTTTCAGTGAGTGAGTCTAGATATGTTATTACTCTTGTGGCCTTAGCCAAAAAATGTCTCAAAGTAATGAGCCAACTACTAAAAATTGGGATGAACTGCTGCAATCTGGGAGGTGGTTGTGTGCTGGTTTTTACTGGTTTTGCTGAAATGCATGTTTTGACACACAGAGTGGCACTGCAGAAGTGGAGCTCAAGAAAGGTGCACCGCTCAAAGTGACCCTGGATGATGCCTTCATGGAGAAGTGCGATGAGAACGTGTTGTGGGTGGACTACAAGAATCTCACCAAGGTTGTAGAAGTTGGCAGCAAAATCTACGTGGATGATGGTCTGATTTCCTTGCTGGTTAAGGAGAAAGGTGGGTAACAACCATTTCAGCTATGCCTGTTTATTCTTTCCTCAGGATCTATTTGTGATTTCCCTCCAATAACTGGTTCTTAGCTTGCAGTTCTGTATTAAAGGAATATGTGGTTCTTAATGCTGTAGTGAGACCTGGAGCAGAGCTTTCTCTACTTCAAGTGTAGCAAGTTTCCAAAAACTAACTTCAGCTGGGTTTCACTGGACTGTCATCTAAAATCCCTCTTTAAAGGTAAATGTGTGGCAGGGACATACCAGTGCTCAGGATCAAAGACTGTTTAGCTAATTCATACTTTAGCTAGGCTAATTCATGTTTTTAATGCAGGAATTAACTAGTTTTACAGCATAAACCCTGACTTCTGTGGTTAGAGACAGAAATAGATTTAACTGGTAATGTAGGGGCAGGGCTAGTTCCACAATACTCACTTTATAGTGGTGCCTAGACTGGTTTAGCCTCAAGGTATTGCCTCTAATCCCAGAGAGTAGGGAGATAGAGGTGAGGCTTTTGGGGTGCTTGGTTTGGTATTACAGGGAAGGCTGCTATGTGCAGAAATGCAACCTGGTAGCTATTTTTGGGGGAGGGACTCCCAACCTCCTGCGCTGAACAAATGGTGTCTTGTAGGAGAGCAGCACAGAAGTGGTTTTAAACCTATCTGCTCTGCTCCCATGGGTAAATTGCAAGCTTGTATGTTACATAAATCCTCTGAAGAGAGTGGTGATGTGCTTTTTATCATGTGCGGTCGCTGTTGGCCCTGCTGTTCTCAGGCAGGGAGGTGGTGTGGGAGTTGGCAGTGGGGAGCTTACTGGTAAACACTGACCGTGGGAACACATCTGTTTCAGGCAAGGACTACGTCATGACGGAGATCGAGAACGGTGGCATGCTCGGCAGCAAGAAGGGAGTGAACCTGCCTGGCGCCGCAGTCGACCTGCCTGCAGTCTCTGAAAAGGACATTCAGGACCTAAAATTTGGTGTGGAGCAGAATGTGGATATGGTGTTTGCTTCCTTCATCCGCAAAGCTTCTGATGTCCATGCTGTCAGGAAGGTGCTAGGGGAAAAGGGAAAGAACATCAAGATCATTAGCAAGATCGAGAATCATGAGGGTGTGCGCAGGTGAGCTTTGTGCAGGTGGCATTGCAGCTCTGTCACCCTGTATCAATAGAAGAGCACAGCCCCTTCGGGCTGTAGTCAGGACTCCTCATCTCTGGCTTGCCAGCAGCAGCAAATTTACTAGTCCGAGTAACTGGGTGGTAATGCAGGCTGTCACTTAATGCCATGTGTGTGGGACTTGACACAGCTGTGGTATGAGTAGTGGGTTGTGTAACTGTCACATATCCTGAGCTCATGGGGACAGTGTCACAGTCACCCCGCGTCTCTGAAAAATCTGCGGTAGTCATAATGAGTGTGAGTTCAGACTTCAGCAAACTTGCTGTTCTGGATGCAAATCAGCCAGCTAATGTATGGGAATCACCATGTCTGTGACAAACTATCAGACTGAAAATATCTTGGATCAACTCGTGCTCATACAATCTGTCTTTGTATTGCTTTAGAAAGCTTTATATAGCACTTTATATGTGCCGTGACTTGGTCTTGGGTTTTTTCCTCCTACTGTGACATTACAGGATATCAAAATGGCGCCTGGAAAGGGTGTGTGTCGACACGATACACAGCTATGCTGCTTCAGAGCAACACTCTCTTTCAGGGAGGAAGGGCAACAGACAGGAAGGTGCTTTGCAGAACAATTTGGTTAACAAACCTCTTCTCTTGTTGTCAGGTTTGATGAGATCATGGAGGCCAGTGATGGCATTATGGTGGCCCGTGGTGACCTGGGAATTGAGATCCCTGCTGAAAAAGTCTTCCTTGCCCAGAAGATGATGATTGGGCGCTGCAACAGGGCTGGCAAACCCATCATCTGTGCCACTCAGGTATGGAAACGCAACACCCGCTCATAACTGCTGGAGCCTGACAGGGTGTGAACATCAGGAGCTGTCATGGCTTGATGGCTTTCGCTAGAGTGAGATGCCAAAAGCATAGAGGTTTTGTTCATGGCTGAATAGCTCATCTTGAGGCACTTTTTAAACGATGTGTTTGGATCTCCCCCAGTAAGGTTACAGGACCTCTTGTGCAGCTGCTGAAGGCTTTACCGCTCAAAACTTCATGCAGTATGAGCCTTTTGGTCTGACTAAAGAAATTCTGGGAAAAAAATCACCTATGCTTTTGCCTTGGCCGTTTGCAGCAGAACATCTGTGTCTAACAGAAGACTTGGTAAGGTTCCCAGTATCTTACAAGGTGTGGCCACACTGCAGCATCAGAAGGAACTGAGTAAAAGTTCCATCTCCTTATTATTCTGGGAGCTGCTGGGGAGGGAGGGAAGGCTGATGTTCAGCTTCCCTGGTAGGGATTGTGTGTGGACGGTCCTCAGGCACTGGGAGGACTGGTTTCCTGGCTGTGCTTGCTCTCTGCACAGGCTGTGGAAGCAAAAACTGGCGCTAGACAGGAGTCATCAGACAAGGATCTGAACTTGCAGTGGCATATGCTCCTTCCTCTTCCTGTACTGCTACTGAAATGCAACTGAAATGCTGCCTCAGGCAGTGTTTCATGAGGAAATGAGTAGTTTGCCCTGTGGTGAGCTGCAGTGGGGGGGAAAGCTGAGGATTTGAGCTTTCCATAAACATGTCTAACAGTACTCTGAGGAGCTCGGAGGTCCTTGGACCAAGCCCTGTGCTGAGAAGTTAAATTGGGAAGTTGGAATATTGTGTCTGATGGTGTGTGGGTATAATCTCCCTGGAAAAGGAGTAAATGGAGAATAGGTAAAAACCGAAATGGGTTGTTTTTCCTGCTAGTCAATGCTTTAATTCAAAGCTGGTTAGGGTCCAGCCCTCCCTGTGCTGTACCCATGGGGAAACTTCTCCCAGAGTCCTTAGGCTGCATCCTGTCTTCTGTCCTGTGTTTATACTGAAGTGCACTAGTGAAAAAGCAGCTGGTTCCTTCTGCAGTGTCTTGATTCCTTTGAACTTGTTCTCTTCCAGATGCTGGAAAGCATGATCAAGAAACCTCGCCCGACCCGTGCTGAGGGCAGTGATGTTGCTAATGCTGTCCTGGATGGAGCAGACTGCATCATGCTCTCCGGAGAGACCGCCAAGGGCGACTACCCGCTCGAGGCTGTGCGCATGCAGCACGCTGTGAGTATGGCCTGGCCTTTGCTTGGGGAGGGCAGAGCAGTCTGCAGGTGAAGGTAGCAGTGCTCTCTTGCCCAGCATCTTCCGTCTGAGCCAGGCAACTCCAGATCTAAGTGTGCCTGGTGCTAGGTGGCAGCACCTGGCAGTCCAAAGTAGTGATTTCTTTGTTTGCACTGCCACTGTGGGTGTTTCTTTACCTAGCATGGGCCTCGGGGCCCAGAACCTCACTCGGTGAGTATTGCTGGGCAGAGCTGAGAACTGCTCTGCAGTCCTCTGATCTAAAACTCCCAATTTATCAGTTTTTGTTTAGACCAGGATAAAGGGGTTTTTGCTGTTACCTTGATATGAGTTTCTCCAAATGCCCCATTTGTTTTGGCATATTCAATGCCTTAAACTTCTCCAAGGTCAAGGAGCTGCCAGAGCAGTTTATCTCTAGATAATGAAAGGTATCGACTGCTGCCTCCTTGGGGGGGTGGGGGAGGCTTGTGAGTCTGATTTACAGTGATGTGGCATTGAGCGCTTGATGTTGGGGGTGTTTGTTGCACGAGTACTGACAGCACCATATTTTTACATGCCTGAACTGCCAGAAACCTCTGCTCTGCTTCGAGTTCACCCAGCTCATGTTTCAGCTGATAAAAACCCTGATGCCAAGTATCTACAAGTGTTGCTTCTCCCCAGTTAACAGTGCTGTGAATCACAACAGTGATAACTTAGCAGTTTTAACTCTCACCAGTTTTATTTGCAGTTTAGGTTATATAGCTTAATCAGCTCAGCTGGTGTTTGTTTGCAGTGCATTATGTAAATATCTCTTTATCTGGTCAATATGGAGTGGTGTTTTTTGCATGTGGCAAGTGTGAAATATGATTTGATTGCGGGACAGTAACTGCTGGTTTACAGGCTGGACACTAACGGTGCACCTAAAAGGTTCTTCCTCAGTTTTCACCCCCTAAATCAAAAGGGTTGACTTCCTACTAAGAGTTGGAAACTTACTACAGCAAACATTACACCTGGGTTTCCATTCTGGCATTAATCCTTAAAGAATTAGGCAGTTTGTATTGTACTTGTAGCCTGAGCTCACGATCTGTTGCATGTGCTTCCCTTTTCCTGCATACCTGGGAATAGTGGTGTTCACTCTACCAGGCCTCTGGAGAAACACTGAAGTTTTAACCCTCTGTGCAGAGGAGCAAAACCAGATTCACTTTATTTAATATAACATGGCACAGGCAGCAAGGTGCCAACCCTGTGATGGTAGGAGCATGTCTGCCTGCAGTCAAGATCTTTCATCTGAGCTAATTCACTTGGTGTTAGTCGAGAGAAGCCCCACCCAGTGATAGCACCCTGAATAACTACGGTCTGAAAATCTGCAGAATGGCCAGAGCAGTTGAGTATTTCCATCTGAAATGGCTAAGCCAGGGAGAGAGCACCTTACCTCTGGCAAATTAACAGCTCCTGTATGCATTCTCAAGCCTGAAATTTGTGTCAGTTTGGGTTTATATGTTGATTTATCCAGTGCTGCCAAGGATTAGCTCCCTCTGTAGCGGGTGCAGGCAGCAGACACGGGCTGTGATACTGATAGTGATCAGGTCTGTACTGTGGAGTGTCTTTGCACCTCTCTAAAAGAATTGACCTGTCTGTCCCTGGCCTGGCCTGTCCCAGCAGCTTTTCTGGGACTCAGCAGTGGTTTCCCTTTCCAGTTAGCCTTACAGAAATGGGCTTCTCTTCAGTAGCTGGCATCTCTGTGACAAAACACGGTGTGCCTCACATTTAGTAGCAAGTTTCCAATTCTTAGGCAGGCTGGCTCCTGCTTGTGGGAGTGCACTTCCTTCTGATTCCAGTCCATGATCCACAGTTGTCTTCAAATGCTGCCCTGGCCATGCTGTGTAATGGGACCAAGGTTTAAATAGCCACTCCATTTTCCTTTCTTCCCACCTTCACCTTGGTATCTCCACCCATGTACCAACTGGAAACCTTCTAGTCATTCCTGTGTGAGTAAAGCTGGCTGTGACGTTAAGAATTGCTGTGCCCTTCCGCTGTCAAAGCAGGCATGTGCAAACACGTGTCTCTTACAACTGGGGAGCGCAGGCTTTCCTCTAAACTCAGGTCACTCTGCATGTTGTGCAGAGCTGCCTGCCTTTGGACCAGGAGCTGAAGATAAACTGCCCAGCTGTCAGCTCTTGTGTTTGGAGTAAGTGTTTTGAGACAAATGCTTCCATTCTATCTAACGGCAAGCACAGAGCCAGCAGTAACAAAACTGACTGCTTTAGGACTGGAGTTGGCACTGGAGTGCTGTTCTGGCTTGTCACATTGTCCTGTTACTTCTAGACATAAAGTTCTTAACTACTTTGGCTTAAACCGGTATCTGTAGAAGAGAGATAATTCCTAGTATCACACAAAATAATTAATTAACACTAGAGTATTAAACTACTTATTTGGAAGGGGTCTAACTACAAAGTTTTCACCATAAGGGCACTTCAGTCTCTGCTTAAACATCAACTCCTCATGCTTTGCGTAGTGTCTATTCACTTTCTGGAGTAACTGAATGAAGTTGTCCTTGAAAAGATGATCAACCTTTGCATGCTTTTCTGGTATCTGCAAGCCTTCTTTATCGGGTTGTCAAGGGCTAATGCAGCCTTCTGAGATGAGGATTGTCTTTAAACGTGAGTGAGTCCCAGCATACTGGGATGAATAGATTACTGAACTTGTTGCAAATATTTAGACTGAACAGAAAGCCCTCAGTTGTACCTCTGCACCTCATCTGTCCAAGTCTGGCACTGTACAGATGCCCCAACATACATGTTGTGACAACCCGACAAGGAAGGCTTGTTCCTATTTATTTCTCTAGTACCAAAAGGGAAGTGAGTACAGCACTTGGAGGTGAAACTTCATTGGCTCTCAAATTAAACTCAGTCTTATGAAGCAAAGAGAGGCAAGTCTCCCAACTTCAGGGGTGACATTGCAAGTGCATTGCTTGCGTGTTGGCTCTGCAAAGACCTTTTTGGTGGGGGTGTGGTGTGTTGGGAGGATATGAAGGGGGAACATGGGGCAGTTGACACTGGAGGAATCAGAGGCGGGTAGATGTCTTGGGAGTGTTGTGAGAAAGTAATGAGAAGCAACACCAAAATGTGGCCTGACCGAGCCGGCTTGCTGTGGTCCTTGAAAAGCAACCTGCATCTGGCTGCTCTGAAGGGACTCCAAAATATATAGGAAGGATGCCACCTCCAGAATGCCTGCCCAGTGACCAGGGCCTGGCAGTTAACCGCCATGGTGGACCAGCCACTGTGGCAGCGGCTCCTTACGCTGAGTTGCCTTCAACAAATTCACAACCTGAGAGCCAAAGAGTTTCACAGCCTGACCTTTAATATTCTCTTGCATGCATTACTATGACAATTAAGCAAATTGACATGATCTCATTACTCTGGTATATCTTTCCTTCTTTCCTCTTTTCTCCTCCTTCACTGTTACTCGGGCCTGCAGATCGCTCGTGAGGCTGAGGCTGCAATGTTTCATCGTCAGCTGTTCGAAGAAATTTTCCGCCTCAATGTTAACAACAGGGACCCTGCCGATGCCATGGCAGTAGGCGCAGTGGAGGCCTCTTTTAAGTGCTTAGCTCCAGCCCTGATAGTTCTGACTGAGTCTGGCAGGTAGGGCTCAGAGAGGGTCTTGGTGCCAGTTTTTTTCTATGAGCAAAAACACACTCCATCCTAACACTGCAAATATTTAGCAAGCAGCTTGCTGCTATGGTGTCAGCCTTGCATAACTGCTGCGGTCTGAGTTGACTTCTCTGTGGCAGGGAGGGATTCCAGGTAGGCAGAAGCAGAGCGAGAGTGCCTGGCAGTTGGTATGAGTGTCACCTGAATGTGGGCTCAGCAAGGTGAGGTGACTCAGCAGGTGCCACCAGCTCAGAACAGAAACCTTGAGAGGAATGGTTCCTCTAGAAGCCTGTGCTGTTTGGGTGGCTCAGTGTTGCGACCATCACCCTGACCTGTTGAACTAAATGGGCTTGTTAATTGGTAACTTAATGTCAAAAGCTGACGGTATTTGTGTGACACCGTGCTGATAGAGCACCTCACCTTACCCCGTGCTGCCCTGAGCGACTGATGTGAGTGTTGTCTTCCCGAATGCATGTTGCTCTTAATAGATTGCCCGGGAGGCCGAAGCCGCCATCTTTCACAGGCAGTTGTTTGAGGAACTGCGTCGTCTGACTTCCCTGAACTGCGATCCCACGGAGGCGGCCGCTGTTGGCGCTGTGGAAGCATCCTTCAAGTGCTGCAGTGGGGCCATTATCGTCCTCACCAAGTCTGGAAGGTAGGAGGTGCCAGGTTCCCTCAGGTCAAGCCCCACTTCCTGACAGGGTTGGGGAAGGACACATGCAAAAAGATGGCTTTGAAAGACTAGAGCTGGACGGTGAAGCCGGGGTTTTGGCAGTGACTGAGAGCCCAGGCTGCCCACCTGCAGTGGTTGTTCCTCGGGAGATGGGCAGACATCTCAAACATCTGCACACCCGTAACCTCTGACTTCCTCATCCTGCCTCTGCCAGCGTGGCAGCAGCACCCCACCCTGCCTCCCCTCGCTGTGGCGAATGGCATCTGTGCCAGCAGTGCTGCCTGGAAGAGTCAAGGGAAAATGAGTGTTGCAGCTTCGATTCAAACTTCTTGGCAAGAAATCCTCGCTCTAACAGTAAGGTAGAAGTTCAGTGGATGCGGAATCTTTTTTTTTTTAAATCAAGGCCTGGCCTTTCATAGTAGCATCCAAACAATTGGTCCCTTGCTGCACCTTCCAGGCACCAGCCCTTCTTGCCTAAGCCCAAGGGGCGAAGAAGGCTTGCTTAGCCTAGAATTGTTAGGCAGGGAAACTGAAAGCGCTGGAAATTTCCTCTTACAGGCTTCCTTAGGCCAGCCTGCAAGTAATCTCACTGAACAGGCAGGTGTTCGGCAGGCACCCTGCAGCCAAGTGCTGCTTGCGCTCAGGTGAGCTCAGTGCCTTGGCTCCCAGTTGAGACACAGCAATGCAGACATGCTGGAAATAATCTAGTTTGGGGATTTCTGTCCAACGACGATGACAGCTGCTGAGTAGAGACTTCCAGTTGTGGAAAGGGAGCTGAAGCCTCGCTGATCAACTTTTCCATCGAGGAACTAGGCTGCCCACTCTCAAAGCACGTCCGACCATAAGTCTCAGACTGCTTTCTGGAAGAAAATCTGCTTTTCTTGCATGGGATTCAGACCAGAGAAATAGTGCAGGAGCAGAGATGTGATGTACTCTGGGCAGAAGCTGAAGATTTGGACCATCAGTGAAACCTTCACCTAAATTTACAGCTTAAAATGATTTGGAGCAGCCTCTTTCTGCAGAGATGAGGAATGACTGTAAGCACTGAGTTTCTGGATGCTCTTGTGCTTCTAATGTTTCTTTATAAGAGGTTCCAGTCTTAACTTGACCTTTTTAAAGAGATTTGAACTCTGATATTTGAATATTTTTAGCAGTGGATTCTGTTACAGCCTTTGAGTACCTGGATCTCCTAGAGCTACTAGGAGGCTTCTTGAAGAGTGTGGGAAGGATTGTCTGAGAGCTGGCACGTGTGTTTGGGTGCTTTGAGCAGACTGCTACTGCCTGCTTTAAGCAGCAATCTTTAAATCTGAGTATTGCTGAGCTTGGCTCCACTAAAGGCTGCAAAAGCTAGTGGAGGTACTGGCATGCTTGTTGGAAAGATGGAGCTATACTGCTATGGCCTTGCAGTTATCTCCATCTATTTGCAGATACTCTCCAAGCTGTGCCCAGGGAAAGGGAAGCCATAGTCCCCACCCAGGGTGTGCCTCTTGCTATTTTTAAGACATTTTAAGGACTCTGTGCCCAACTTCCCAGTATAAATTTTGGCCTCGGTTGCATTTTCTTCCTGTTGGGTGCAAGAGCAGAGCTCTATGTGGAGGAACTGACCTGTTTGCTGGCTCCAGCAGGTGAACGTGGCTGGGAGGCAAATGGCTTCCTCCTTGGCAAGCTTTGGGTAGTGCTGCTGGCACGGGCTCTTTCCATCCCATAAACTGGGAGCTCCTCAGAACAGAGGGAACTTGCAGGAACCCCTGTTGAGATGCCAAGGGCTGCTTGCAGAGGCCAGAATAAATGGCATCTCGCCACCTTAACATAGCAACAGAGACAAATAAAGGTTTGTTTTCGGGTCCAAAACACACAGATGGCACTTCCTAAACTCGGAGTTGAGGTGATTTTCACCATGAGACTGGAGTAGGGACTGTTGCCAAGGACGTCCTTCAGTGGTGGTCCACCCAGTTGCCTAACTTGGAATTCAGTGGAGCGTCAAGCTCCTTGGCGAGCTTGGCTCTTGGCCAGCATCTCCCACGGTCGCCTTCTCAGTGCCTCTAGGGGTTTTGCGGAGCCCTCCAGGGTGACGGGCAAACCTCGCCACTGCTTGTGCTGCCTTCGGCTGTACACAGGCGTCCTCTCTGCCAATAACACGTGGTGCTTCACCTCGCATCCACTTTTCCTTCTAGGTCAGCCCACCTGGTGTCGCGGTACCGCCCGCGGGCTCCCATCATCGCCGTGACACGTAATGACCAGACGGCGCGTCAGGCCCACCTCTACCGGGGCATCTTCCCCGTCCTGTGCAAAGAGCCAGCGCATGACGCCTGGGCAGAGGATGTGGACCTCCGCGTCAACCTGGGCATGAATGTTGGTGAGTGGCACTGCACCAGCCTCACCTGGGGAAGTGCCTGATGGCGGGTGGTGGCCCTGAGCACCTCGGGTGGTGCTTTTGGGGTGACTGGTGGCTCAGGGAGAGGAACTGCCTGCCGGGGGCACGTAATGGTGTCTGCTTGAGAAACGGGATGGTGGTTGCATAAGCGCCACCACATCTGATTGGGAAATGTGACAGTGCATTTGTCACAGCTGCCTGAAAATAGGTTCCAGCAGAAAACCAGGTTTGTTTTAATGTGATAAATGCTTGAGACACGATGCTCATCGCTCCTGAGAGACAAGAGAAGCCCGGAGGGGGGCGACTCCATTTTCCAGCCCATTTCTAAGGGCTGTGCTGTTGAATTTCAAGGTCCGTGTTGCAGAGGAGCCCAAAGCAGAGGCGGCGAGTGGGCAACAGGGGATCAGGGTCTCGATACCCCTACAGAGCCACAGCTGTGGGGGCCAGGCTGCTCCCTGCAGTGTGGTGACGTGGGGTGGGGGTGAGCAGCCTGCAGCAGGCTGATGGGGGGGACACGAACTCTGACACCTCCTTCTCTTCTCTCCTAGGTAAAGCACGTGGCTTCTTCAAGAGTGGCGACCTGGTCATCGTGCTGACGGGCTGGCGCCCTGGCTCTGGCTACACCAACACCATGCGCGTGGTGCCAGTGCCCTGAAGGCCCCATTCCACCCAGCACCCCCCTTCCTTCCCTCCCCACCCCACTCCGCTCCCCTTTCCCCTCGCCTTAGACCAGCCATCGCTTGTGCTGTTCTCCTGGGCCCTAGAGTGGATGTAGGTTGCTAAACACCACCCAGTGCAGCAGCAGCAGGGGGAAGAGACCTTAAATCACTAAAAAAAAAAAAATATATACTTGAAGTGTTTAGTTTTTTTAAAAACCTCTCCCCGTAGCGAAGTCCTGCCCCGATCTATGTCGGAGTCAGTGTAGGAGGTTCCCACATGTTGCTGGGACTCCTTGTAGCTTAGTGACTGTCCTCAGGGTGTGAAATGTCCCTTTCCCTGCCTGCCTGGGGGGGAAAGGGGAGAGGGGATGGGTGGTCAAGGGTTCTGCTGTACCCCTCCTCACTCCAGGGAAGCTGTTCCTCCCTCCTGTGCACCCCGAACCTCTCCCAGCCTCCCCACAGACCAAATCCCGGGTGACTCCAGCCCCGCTCTATGCGGGTTTTGTTTCCAGGGGTGGGGGTAGAAGGGGGGTGGCTCCCCCTCTGTGCTCAGAGCTTCCCGTGCTCCCCTGGCAGCGTTGTCTGTGTGTTAGTTGTGTGTGCACACCCCCTGCCCGCGCCCCCCGGGCGTTAGAGCACAACTCTCCATCAATAAAGAGAAGCTGAAGCACCCGCCGGCCCGCGCTGCTCTGTGGGAA